CGGCTGGTGGGGGCGGAGGTGGCAGCTCTGGGAAGGACTGTCCTTAGCTGACTGACTCCTCCTTCTGCTCTGTGGCTGCCGGTGGCTCAGAGTCTGACCTGTGGACACCAGCGGCTGTGCCCCCGGTGACCAGGGCCCCGTGTGACTCAGAGCGCCCTCTGCCCTGCGCATGGAGCTGGGCCTGGGCAGCGTCGCCAGGCATCTGCCCTGCGGTTCCCCAGGATGGGGTCTTTATAAGAATAAGCCTTGAGGACAGCTCTCCATTCTCTACACCTGCCTGGAATTAGGGCTCTTTTGCTGCAGACACCCCCTTTCTCTGGGAAGGAGCACCTTTGGTCAATTCCTAAAACTACTAAGTATTTCTAATCGGCTCCACCACTCCTGCGCCTGTGAGTGCCGCTACCCCGTCCCCACGGCAGTGAGCTCACCTGGTGCTCACAATACCGCAGGTGGCGGGGGGGGGAGACGGAGCTGGGCTTGAGTCCACGCTCCTCCCGGGGACCACACGGAAGCCAGGGCCATCCAATTACACACCCAGTGTTCTCCCCAGCACTCTGTCCTGCTGGGATCCTTGCAAAAGTGACAGGAAGTCCGTTGGGGTGCGCAGAGCCCAGGAAGCAAGCCCAGGCTCCCACCCTGGGCGGCCCCTGGTATCTGCCTGCTCTCTGGGGGCAAGACCCAGTCCGAAGAGGCTGGAAGAGGTGCTGATGTTTTCATGTTGGAATGTCAGGGCCGGGGCCGTGCCTGCTGCTGGACTTCCTCCCCCCTGCCACCTGCTCCCAGGCTGACCCCACCCAGAACTGAACCTGGAGCCCGACACCAACCTTGGGTTAGGCCCAACCTGGACCCTGGAGAGCTCGCCCCAGCCCCAGTCCCTCACTCTGCCCTGCTGTGGCCTAGGGAGGACTGGGGCTGGGCGCTGCCCGGAGCTCAGCAGGACTTTAGGCCTCAGGCTCTGTCACTGAGTGACACGGGGTTATTATGCTGTCATGGGGCCACCTGGAATCCTCTCCCACCCCACTGAAAGGCAGCTCATTAGGAAGGCCTCCCAGCTGTTGCCAACCCAGGGCCCAGCAGCCCCCAGTTTCAATGAGCGTCCTGAGGGTTTTCACTGTGGACCAGGGGACAGCACAGGTGGGCAGGCGGAGCAGGCAGCAACCTGGCCGTCTGAGCACTGATGGATGCCAGGCTGTAGCCCTTGAGGCTGTCGCCCCTGAGGCTGTCATGTGAAAGCACCCCCAGACCTGGGGCAGGGCAGTGCCTGGGGCTCACCCCCCAATCCTCGCCCGCCTCTGTCATGTGGTCATGCCGACCTTGGTCATGGGCATGCTGCCCACCCGCCAGGGGGAAACGCTCCAGCCCTGCTCTAAAGATAGCCAGAGGCAGGGCCTCTTCTCCCATGGGCCCGTGGGGAGACCAGCCGATGGGAAGGTCGGTGCCGTGCCCAGGTAGCGTTTGTGTGGACTTGGGAGAGTGCGTTAGTGCACCCGGGGTCAGCTCGACGCTGCCAGAGGCTGCCACCCCTCCCCCCGGAGGGCGGTTGATCCCGGGTGAGGAGTGGGGGTGTGGGGTTCAGAGTGCCTGGGTCCCTGCCTCTGCTACATGCCTTTGGGCAGGTGGCCTGGTCTCTCTGAGACTTGATTTTCCCATCTGTAAATTGGGCTGATCACAGTACCCACTTCAGTGGGGTGTGGTCAGGATCTGAGAGGGAATGTCACAGCACGTCCATGTGATGTTTTACTGGTCCCTTGCATCCTTCCCAGATGGTGGGTATTCTGAGACAGAAGAATCGGAGAGCATGGGGTGCCAGGGATGGTGGGGTGTGGTCTGAGAAGCTCTGCCCAGCACTGCTGGGCCTCCCCACTGACCACACGCCTGCTGTGCTCTCCCCAGGGAAGATGGGCTCTGTCTGCCTGTGGCTGTCGATGACCTCATGGCTGCCCTGAGTTGGCCCCGGCCCTCCCAGCAGCTGGATGTGCTCCGGGCTGTTCCCCATGTGTCCTGGTCTGACTACACTGAGGAACTGGGCCCTGGGGGCAAGGCCTGCAGCCTCCCCCTGTGGTCCACATGCCAGGAGGCCAGGGATGGCGACAGCTCTGTGTCATCAGGCCGCCTCTCTGGCTCCTCGGGGGGCCACGAGTCATGCGTGCCTCCCCATGGGCCCTGGAAGGAGAGGCTGCCCCAGGTGCTGAGGCCCCAGCGACAGCCCAGGAGGAGCGACCCGCGGCTGGAGCAGCTGAGAGACAAGATCCGGGCCCAGGCGCAGTGGCAGGCGAGCTGTGCTTCCCTGGGCACCTCGGCACCCTCCAGTGCCTCCCGCCTCTCCACGGCCTGCTCGCCAGCGCTCCGGAGAAAGACTCGCAAGGTGGCCGATGCCCTTCCTGCACCTGCAAACCCAGGTCAGTAGCAGCTTTGCCCAGTGAGGGAGTAGCAGCAAGTGGGTGGACCTACCATGGTGGCAGGTCCTCTTCTTTTCGCTCTGCTCCAGACTTCAGGGCTGGTGGCCACCTGAGGACAGGTGTGCGATGTGCCCCTGAGGCCCCAGGAGGGTCTGGTGGCCCTGGGAGCTGACTGGGGACTAGAGTCCATGAGGAGGTGCTTCTGAGCTGGGTGCAGGGTGAGGGTTCACGGATGGAGACATCTGGGGAGCCGTGGAAACGAGAGGGCGGGGGCGTTGAGAGATGGGTACGCAGAGGGCGTGTGGGGGAGCGCAGAGGGACCCGTCCCCTGGCCTGCAGCCTGTCTTAGCCCCTGCAGCCTTTGGGGGATGGATTATGGGGCCTTTAGCAGAAGATGGCACAGTCAGGTTTGGGGTCTTAGGAACACCCTAAAAAGCCAGCATGGATTTAGGATGCCCGTCTGCTTTCCTCCCGGCTAAGACGGGCATTTCCTGGCCCTGGAGAGCGGCGGGGGTGGGAGTGGTGAGGAAGGAAACATCTGAGCCCCTCCCTGTTGGGACGATGGTGGAGGCCGATCCTGTGGCTCTTGTCTGTCCAGGTGCTTCTCTCTTTTTCTAGGGAGACAGAGGCGATGTATTTTCCTTTTTTTAAAAAAAATGTTTAAGGGC